GGGGGGGGATCTCATTGTGCCAAGAAAACTTAACTTATTAGAGAAGTCTGCATAACTACTTTTTCCATGATGCACTATTTTTCTACATGGATGGGCTTTTTATATGAAATATTTTTTTTAAAAAAAATCAATCCTCTGCTGCAGTCTGAAAGAGATAAGACTTATACAGAAAAATTACAGATTCTATGCTAATTTTTTCAATTCATGAAAACACAAATGTTTTACTCTTCTCTATATATTTGTATATACATGCACTGATGCATTACATGAGAATAACAGTTTATGAGCAGGAGACTGATCCATATCCAGTGTTACAATTTAAATGCTTTGAAAACCAGGGACTGATAAATCTAAATAACTGTAATTTAGGTTTAGTGCAGTATGTGGACCCTGCCATTATTTTCTAGTGGAATATTTGATTTGACTACTGGAACACAGAGGTGTACACACACACACACACACACACACACACACACACATTTTTTTTCCATGATGAAAGTCAGAGTTTCCAGCCATCAGCATTTGGTCAATTGTGAATTTATTAAGGTTGCTTCATATTTCCTTAAAATTTGATTTCACAATCCCTCAAGAATTAATTAGAAAACTTTCAGTGTTGACTATGAACATTCAACTTCAAGGTTATTAAGTTTCTAATGCACCAATTTTACAATAATTTAAGTGGGCTGCCTTTATGTTTTGCATTAATTTAATTTGGTGGGGGGTTTTTTCCTTCAGAAAGGTAATAAATATAAGGGATTGTATTAACTACAACAGGCAAGTTTTGCAATAGGACAAGCTCTTGAGCCATTCACCTACTTGCTTAAAATATTTATTATGGTTCATTAAACAAACAAAAACTTCATCAGAGCAAAGGGATTTAGATTAGTGTTTTTTCTCATTCTCCTTGCTTGAAAGACTTCATTGACAAACTAGCAGGAGCTGCCAAATCTATATTCCAACAGGTTATCCAAAATGAAGAACATATCAATTTCATTCTGAGATCCAGTTTTCGCAAATTAAAAGTGTTCCTCCATGCTGCCTGCCACTCCATCATTCCTGAAGAAGATGGATGAGCTTCGTTCTAGTTCAGTGTTTCTCAGCTTTAGCAACTTTAAGATGTATGGACTTCAATTCCCAGAATTCCCCAGCCAGCATGCTGGCTGGGG